TCTGGGCTCTGGCTGGGCCATTCCAAAAGGTTAATCTTCTTCTGGTGAAGCCATTCCTTTGTTGATTTGGATGTATGCTTTGGGTCGTTGTCATGCGTAAAGATGAAGTTCCTCCTCATGTTCAGCTTTCTAGCAGAAGCCTGAAAGTTTTGTGCCAATATTGACTAGTATTTGGAACTGTTCATAATTCCCTCTACCTTGACTAAAGTCCCTGTCCCAGCTGAAGAAAAACAGCCCCAAAGCATGATGCTGCCCCCACTTTGATTCACTGTGGGTGTGGTGTTCTTTTGTTGATGTGCAGTGTTGTTTTTGTGCCAAACATTTCTTTTGGAATTAGGGCCGAAAAGTTCAACCTTGGTTTCATCAGATCATAACACTTTTTCCCACCTGCTTTTGGGAGACTTCAGATGTGTTGTTGCAGAATTTAGCCGGGCTTGGATGATTTTCTTCATAAGAAAAGGCTTCCGCCTTTCCACTCTACCCCATAGCCCAGACATATGAAGAATACGGGAGAATACATGTATCACACAGCCAGTACTTGCAGATATTCCTGCAGCTTCTTTAATGTTGCTGTAGGCCTCTTGGCAGACTCCCTGACCAATTTTCTTCTAGTCTTTTCATCAATTTTGCAGGGACGTCCCATTTTTGGTAATGCCACTGTTGTGCCATATTTTCTCCCCCTGATGATGACTGTCTTCACTGTGTTCCATGGTATATCTAATGCCTTGGAAATTATTTGGTACCCTTCTCCTGACTGATACCTTTTTAACAATGAGATCCCTCTGATGCTTTGAAAGCTCTCTGTGGACCATGGCTTTTGCTGTAGGATGTGACTAAGAAAATGTCAGGAAAGACCTACAAGTACACCTGATCTTTATTTGGGATTCCTCAGAGGTACTTTAAATGATGGCAGGTGTGTACTGCCTCCTACTTGACATGAGTCCGAATGTGATTGCTTACTGCTGAACACAGTTACATCCCCAGTTATAAGAGGGTGTGTGCACAGATGCAACCATATTATTTCAGTTTTTTATTTTTACTTCCCTCTACTGTACATAAAAGATTTCAGTTTGTTGTTCAACTGAGTTGTACAGTTCATAGATTTCATTAAAGGAGGAAAAAGTTCTGAAATGATTTATCTTTGTCTCGTTTTTTTTTTTTACATCACAGACACTTGACATTTTAACGGGTGTGTAAAGTTTTGATATCCACTGTATGTGTTCAAGTTAGTCGGTTCAAGAGTTGTCACAAGGTTGGGTCCTTAAGAATCAGGCTTAAGTGTAATGTATATGTCTGAGTAATAAAAATCTAGCAGTGTAGTACCTTGAATGTTGAATTCTGTGTCCTATATTATTTATGTCTGTTTTGCTTACTGTATTGCAGTATTGCAATACTAATCATTTAAAAATCTAATCATAGACAGGTGAAGGAAAGTTCAAATGAAGCCCCATCCCCTAACCACTAGAAATCCTTAGCTAGACCCTCTGGCTTCTGAGCTTTCAGAATGCACTTCCCATTGTACATTTTACCCTGTCTTTGAAGTCTGAAAAAAATGTTGAGATTCTTAGGAACCTAATTAGTGTTCATGCAACCACATTCTTGAACAGCTTTGTTAAGATCTAGAATTCATTCTATTGCCAGCATGATAGTTAACTGTATTTTAGAAGTCAGCAGAGGAAAAAAAACAAAGGGAATTCATCAGCTAGAATGGGATGGGTAAGTGAAGGAAGACAAGATATTATCGCCCCTTCCTTATTCAGATAGCCAGAATTAACAAAACTAGTGCTGTATCTTCACAGGATATTTGGTGGGTGCACAGTACATGCCTCAAGGGCCAGGAGATGGCTTCTTTAGCATTTTCAACTATATAAGAGCCTCTTTATCTTTAAAAGTGTGGAAAAGCTGTACTGTTGGTTGGCCTTAAAAGAATGCCTACTATAGAATATTAGTTTGAACTAGGCATTCTTGAACATCAGTGGCAGTGTGCTAGGAGGCAGGCAACATTCTTTGTCATGGCAGGTCTACATCTTTTTCCCTCTCTAGGATTTGCACTCTTTGCCTTTCAGTGCTTGATAGCCTACTGGCCAGTGACCTTGCACGTCTTTAATGGAACTTGTGTTTGAGTGTATATCATCCACATTTAAATAAATACTAGTTGCATCAGTTATAGATCAGCAGTCATTACACTGGCATTACTTTTAATCCTTTTTTCCAGTTGATTAAACTCCAAACTTTGTACTTTTTGTTGTGGACAGCCTTGGGGCTTTTTTGCACCATTTTTAAAAAGAATAGTAGTGGTTGAAATCCTGCTGCATAGTATAGCAAGTTGCAGTGAGAGAGGCATATTTGAATCAATGGAACTTATGAGGGACTTGGCTTCACCAAATCCTTGCTAATTTAGAGGCCTACTCCAGTGCAACTTACTGTGCCAAGCAAAAGGATTGAAAAATAGTACGTATCACATAAATATTGTTAACATACTGTTGTAATGATTGGATGCACTTAACTCCGGCTACACTTGGTTCTGTGTATTTCTCCTTTCTTTGTTCACACCTTTCAGATCATTTTACACTAGCTCTGGAAAATTAAGTCTTTTTTGGTGTAGCAGGCAGGGCTTAGGTGTATTAATAGTGACATTGACCCTTAATATTTTCACATAGTGAAATCTCTCACTTCATACTTGAAGACCTTTAGTCCATTATGGGAACGCATTTGATCTGGAAATGGTGCAATTTTTTTTTTTAAAGTACAAGACTCTCTAAGTCCACTTATTCTAGAAAGAGTTGCCAATGGAAATTTTTATACTCTGCATCTCATATCTATTTGCCCTTTCGTTTAACCACCCAGATGTATAATTTTAAAATAGCTGTGGTCTTTTGCTTCTTATGCAATAACATATAAGATGGAGTGTGAACCATTTGGTTGCAGTTATCACAACAGACCTACTCAGATGGATAAAAATATATCTACTCAACATGTGGGGAGTGGGAGCATAGTAGCGCCTCTTGTCAAACCCAGTTCCGTTACTTTCTTGCATATGCATGATGAGAATGTGAACTGAAATCCATTATCCATTGGGGAGGGGGCTTTCCATGGCAGTTGAAACTGATTATTTCATGCAAGTTCTAACTTGCATGGAAAGCCCCCATTGGGAGTAGAGGCTCTCCACTTCAGACTCTGCATAGGAGGGTTTCTGCAGTGACAGTGAAGAGGTGGAGCTAGGATGCTCCCTGTTGAATTCTGCTGAGTATCCACACTTTGTAATGACTGCATAAAGTTAAAAGTGTAAACTGCATGGTGAAATAGCAACATTCCTCAATTTTTTAAAAAAATCCTATTTAGTAGTTAAAACTAATCTGGGCAACTAGTAAATACTTCCATTTCCTTTCTTATCTTAAAAATGATTTTAGGGCTGAGCAATGCATGAAAAAAGGGGCAATATCCTTTTGGGTAATGGATTCTAAGTGGAATAAAAAGTATTTGTGTGTTCAAGTTGTTGTGGGGTTTTGGGTTTGTTTCTTTTGGTAATATTATCCACACAACTTATTTATTTTGTTCAGTTCTTTGCAATGTCTCAAATGTTCATTGTTTAAAACTGGTTAATGTTAGGTATTAAAGAACTGTGTTGCTGGATCAGACTCTAGTCTATCTCAATCAAATGTAATTGCTTAAACATAGACCGTACATTACAGCACTTACATAAATACATGAAATGAGACCAAAATCGAGGAGCGAAGAGCAACAGTACACATTTTCCTTAGATTCCTTATGGAAAATTATGCAAATAAAGCATGAATTAAAATAGGCACATTTCTCCTTGCAAAAATTCTCACATTTCTGCTATTTTGTAAGTAAAGTACATTTCAGTTCCTGCCACTAGCTCAGTTTTTAGAGACAACTGGGCATCCAGAAAAAATTACCAAAATTGAAAGCTGATATTCTTGTAACTAACAGGATAAGACCGACGTTTAGGATTCATGTAGCTTGAGCATTCTTTTGTCAATGGTATTGTGTGCCTCTGGAAGCTTAGAAGTGAGTATGAATGTGATGTCCCACCTGCTGATTGCCCCCAATTTCTAGTATTACTGCGTCTGAACATGGTGAGCCAACTAATTCTCACAGCTCTTGATAGGCCCATTCTCAGTAACGCTGTCTCATTCCTTTTAAATGCTGCCTAACCTAATGGCTGATGCCATATCTTCTACTGACAAATTCTTTTAAATCATGGGTTGGGAATAATGAAAGAATTCTTTGTTGGCAGGATTGAAACCAAGATACAAGAAAGTTCCTTATTGCCATCAATTTTTTAAAAACTCAGTATAAGAATAAACTCTTGTTACTGGTATCTTGTCAGATCTTTTTCTTAAAGTGCAATGGTTGAAGGTAATAGTCAAATAGCTGAGTGTGATTGCTTTAGGTTTGTGATCCATCCTTTTAGCGCACACTGCAATCCATCTGAAATGTTTGTGGAATTTCCTCTTTCTTCATATACACTATTTGCTAAAACAGGTCCACCCCACTCAGTCAGTACCTACTGCCTTTCCCTCTACTAAGCTGCAAGTGATACATAAGGTTTTCACAATTTTCTAATCCAGTTTCTGCAACATGATCTTGAATCTTCTTCATTTGAGCAGGAAACTGTTAATTTCCTGCCCTTCCATAACTGGAGAAATTGTGGACAGGGAGAGCTTTCATATGAAAAATGTATGGATTTTTCAAGCTCATAAATGAAAAATCACTGTGTTCTAACCACTGAAATTTCTACCCTAATTAAAGGGGAGAAGATTTAGGTTTTTTTCTCCACAACATGCTTAAGAAATATTACATTCTCAACATTCAAGCTCCATCTTGATTTATCATCATTGTCCCATTCTCTTGATCAGTGTTAAATGCTTAGAGAGCCACCATCTTTCACTAAAAACGGCATCTGTTTCTAACTTCAGCTTTTTATTTTCTATCTTTCATTTTCTTTTTTCTTTTTTTGTTGATAAATCTCCCAGACAACAACAGTTCTGTAGAGAGTTTAAATATGAAGGAATGGCAGGACGGGCTAAGGGCACTTCTACCGAACATTAACATCAACTTTGGTGGACTGCCCAATGCTACTTCCCCCTCCAACGCCAACCACAGTGTACCAACGTCCAACACTGCCACCACCGACAGCCTGAATTGGGACAGCCCTGGCAGCTGGATGGACCCCGCAATCATCACAGGTAACAATTTCTCACTCATTCAGATCCACTGACAATTACAACATCCATAATTGGCACAAATTAATCAATACTTTTGAAAAAAGCAACACCATGCGGTGGTCTCTTCCAGCTTCCATCTACCAAACTTTCAAGAGGCCTGACAGTCTTTTCAAATAAATCAGCAGTTTTCCTGTTGCATGCCGAACATCTTTCTTTAGTGTACACTTAGACTTCAGTAGGTTCTCGTGTTTTCTGCTGGCATGCCAGTCTACGCAATGCAGTTCCCAGTGCACTGGTACATTAACTGGACTTCTTTCATTGAAAGGACGTACTCCACTTGTTTATAAAGCTCTCTCATAAGGCTATTTGCGTCTCCCTTGTAAAGGTTAAAGCCTGATTTGGAAAAGTAGAAAAGCGAAGAAAAGGATATATTTGGTAGAGCTGTAGTGTGAATGAATCTCTGTGAATGAGTATCTTAGCAAGCATGGAAGGTTAAGGGGCAGCAGCTGCTTGGAAAAAGCTGAGCTTCTGATATGTTTGAAAAACTATTTCAGCAGTCCTTTGCAGAAACTAATAATGTTTTCTTACTGTTGCTGTTGGTTAAGTTAAACTGACCTGCTTCACTTTAGAAGGTCTTGCTTGCTCTGACCTAACCTCTTTTTCCTCTTATATTTTCTTCTCTTCCTAGGTATCCCAGCCTCCGCTGGAAACAATTTAGACTCTCTTCAAGATGACAATCCACCACATTGGCTAAAATCTCTTCAGGCTCTCACAGAGATGGATGGTCCCAGTGCTGCCCCAACACAAGCCCCCCACAGTAACCCCTTCAGCACACAGATTCCTCTGCACAGAGCAAGTTGGAACCCCTATTCCCCTCCTTCAAACCCGGCCAGTTTTCATTCTCCTCCCCCAGGTTTTCAGACAGCATTCAGACCCCCCAGTAAAACCCCCACAGATCTACTACAGAGCTCAGCGTTGGATCGTCATTAGGAAAAGTTCAAAAACATTAGAAATGCAGGAATTGCCCCACCCAGATTTCCTACACCTACTCATGGCCCCCTTTCCATGTCTTTCTTTCTGAAGAATCCAGTTCCTGATCAAAACTCTTCCCTGCCAGCCTCCAAATGCAATGCAATCACAGGGTCATATCCATATCACTTTTGTTAAATTTCTGCTGAGCCAGTGTTTGAGAATACACGGTTTAAAATGATTTCTAAGAAAGAGAGAGGGAGGGGGAGAGACAGAGGGAGGGAGAGAGAGAGAGAGAAGTCAAATCATTCACCTATAAAGAGGATATTTTCATAAATCTTTTGCACATAATTACTTTAGCCTAGCAGAAAATATAAAGTTGACAGTAGAAGGAGAAATGATATAATGTTCAGGATCAAATGCAGAGATGCAGTTTAATTTAAACATGAGATTCAAGATATGGGGAGAAGCAGTGGCCTAGCATTTATTTTGCATTCTGTGTGACGATATACAGGGAAATAGTGTTTTTTCCTCTCTTTTGGAAAAGTGGGACAATATTGTCAGTAAGGTTTGATACAAAGTAGTTTGAATGACAATTTGCCTGCAGAAGTAATTGACATGGCTAAGAAGGTTTAACAGAGGGGATTTCTTTTAAATTTTGGCTTTAGATTTCAAGTAAAAGTAATGTTTTTAAAATATTCACAGATTTAATACCTAGCATATACATGATATAATTGTAAGCAGCTGAAACACGAGTGGTATTTACTTCAGTCTTTCTATCTCCTTGTCAGTCTCTCTTTCTTTTTTTTCTAAAGAAAAATTCACCTGATTAAAGCACTCTGGGATAGCACTGCATTGGGGCCACATGATCACCATCAGGAGCGCAACCTTTGACGACCTCTGCCTGCAGCTTTTACTTAACCTTGTAGTTTCTGGACGTTTGTGCAGTATTGAAAGACAGGAAAAAACAAAACAAATAACGTTAAACATGGTTATAACCTGACGCTAAAACTAAAAACAAGGAAATGTACCTCTTTCTTCAGAATTAAAACTAAAATCTTAAATAAAACAGAAAACTTGATGACAACTTTTTGTAAGTTCTTTTTTTTTGGATTTGTGTGTTTGGTCAGTTGCTCTGCAAGAGTGACAGGGAACTCTGAGGTTCTGTTCATGCCCCGTGGGGCATTCCCATTCTCATCTGGGCCCTGTCATTATCTTCTCTTTGCCATGTTACATCCCGCTTTTCTGCTCTATTCTGTTTTCTCTCTCTCTCTCTCTCTCTCTCTCTCTCTCTCTCTCTCATTTTGGGGAGGGGTTCCTCACTCCCCGTTGCTCCCTGTCTCTGTTAATACTTCCCCTTATTTTTTTAATACCCAAAATGTCAGGAATAGATTACAATATAGCTTAGTATTTGCACTGATTCAGTGTCAAAAGAAGCTTCCTAGTTTGTAGACAGTGTTGTATAGTATAGTCTCAGTATTCAAATCTACTTTATGTGGAGCTATATGCATACATTTAAAATATATTTTAGAAAAAAAGTTAGTGAGATGGATCATTTGTCATTCCTTATGAATAAAGTACAAAGAACCGCTTTATGAATATCCTATGTTCATGCACACATTTCTCTCAGAAGGCTGAAATGTTTCATTAAGAGTTGGCCTACATTATAAAGTATGATAATCAGATTGCTTCCTGCAAGGGTACTTATTACAGCAGGCTTTGGTAGAGCTCCTGATGAATCGGTAGCATTGGGCTAAAAACAACAGTTAGTTTGAATGCAAAAAGATGTCTTGGGACTCACAATTGGATTTATGTTACTGTCTTGTATCTTTGGTTCCCTCGATATTCTTTTTATCTTGAAGAGTTCAGATCACCTGAAGACTAGCCAAGATTTATAGAAAATTATACTTTTGGACATGTCCTTGGATTTTCCTGGTATGGCTCTTTTTTGGAACTTGCCTTACAGAAGGATGTTTGGGCAAGTATTCCAACATGAGCTTTTCACATGGGAGGAAAAAAGGGAAGATACCACTTGAACAAACCTGGTAACCTGAAACAACTGTCTTATCCCTGCTTTCTGCTCTTACTTAGTCTATTACTCTGAAGTACTAAGCATGTAAAAAAGCTATAGGGTAGTTTTAATAGACCCTAATGTTGGGAAATTGTGAGGGCAAGAGGAGAAGGGGACGACAGAGGACGAGATGGATGGACAGTGTCATTGAAGCGACCAACATGAAGTTGACCAAACTCTGGGAGGCAGTGGAAGACAGGAGGGCTTGGCGTGCTCTGGTGCATGAGGTCACGAAGAGTCGGACACGACTTAACGACTAGACAACAACAGTTTTTATACAAGTGGAGATACAGTATAGAGAAGATTTCAAAACTTAGCAAGTATTCAGGAGAAACATACAACATCAGTTATATTTATTGCACATCTAGGTCTTTTATTTTTTTAAAAAAAGTTGCTCCAAGATGAAGACTGACATTAATATAGACTAAACTCATAAAGAAATGACTTATATATGTATAATATCTCCTTGTTAAAACTGCTGTGTCTGTAGTTTTGAAACTAAGAATCAAAACTAAGAATTAAATAGCATTTTATTCAGTGGAGTCTCTTGTGCCTTGCAGAAATAGAACCAGCGTAGATGTTACTGGTGTCATCTGATCTGCTGGGGGGGGAAACCTATTCTGCAAGGCTTTTTGCATATTACACAGCCCGCATAAGCAAAACATTTATGTGACCAGTTACCTCCAGGCGTTAGCTGTGGTAAGATCTTCTCCAGTTCTTTCTTATGTACAGGAAAATAAAATAAAGGTATTTATTTTTTGTGGAGTAAGTAAACAATGCAGACTATCTTGTATTTGAAGCAAAATTTTGTTAAGACCACAAATTGTGTAATTGAAGATTGCAAATATTTATGCTAGCTTCAGATACTAACAGGAAAATGATGTAATCCTTTTGCAAGTAATACATTATTTTTAGAAAACTAGATTTATTTTAGAAATTTATATTGAAACTGTTTAAGTACACCTGCTAGAACAATGTTATACATTTGCACTTACTAAGTACAATTTACACTTGACATGTATAATCAGATATTTTTCTTTCTGCTCCTGTTTTTATTTTTTTTTTGTAACCACATGCCTAAATTTAGGATAAGTTTCCTCCACTGACAGCAATATGCTTTAAAATGTATCAAATTGGCTTTAATTTTTCTCTTCAGAATGTATTTCTGAACACAACTGCTATCATCTCTGACAATTGGCTAGGTTGGTGAGAACCCAAGACATATGGAGGTCAGTCGGTTCAATTAAGTTTGAGGAAATCCTGTAGGTAAATGGCCATGTGGTGCATGAACTCTAAATAATTTTGGGAAGTGGGTTTTTAACTTAATACCTAGAATACCATATATTGTTTGCAATGTGTGACTTTAAAAGAAAAAAAAGGTTAAGATGTTCATATCAAGAATACAAAATCTAATAATTTTAAACATTTCCTGGAAGAGCTGTAAAATATGGTTCTTCCATTGCTTTTGTTGACTAAAGCAAGTTACATTCTACAGTTTGCATTGTGCAAATGTTTGTATGTTTTGAATTGTCTCTGAAGATCTTCTTGTCTCCCAATCCAAAGTCGGTCCAGTATGTAAAGTGGGGGTTCTCCATACAACTCCATTCTGTTCATGTTAGGTTTTTGTGCTGTTTTAGGCTTCTCCGGAAATATATGGCTTAGAGCATAGATTCCAAGATCATTTCAATGCATATCTGCTCAAAAGCAAATTCCCAGTAAGTACAGTGTAATGTACTTCTGAATAAATGGGTGTAGGATTGCAATTTGACTGGTAAAAGTGCCCATGTGTAAGTCAGTGTGATCTAAGGATCTTACATCTGGCATATCACTGTATTCAGTATCTGATTCTTAGCTCTGTTATCTCATTAGGAGAAAGCTTGCTTGGCTATTGTGCTTTACTCCAGATACAGGATGTTGCTGTCTTAGATGTTAGACATACCTTTTAAGAAGTGCCAGGGTGGGTTAAATTAAATCAAGTCTATTTAAATCAGTATTTAAACCATGATTTAAATCACTGGTCAGTAAGGCTCCATTTAAATCGATTTTTAAATGTAAAGGTTCATTCTTGCTGGTTATAGCCTTTAATATTTGCAGCCAGATGAAGATTTCATATTTGGAACAGCAATCTGTTTGATTAGTAAAACAGCTATATCACAACAGATTTTAGTTTTATAGGTTAATCACTCATATTTGGAGAACTACTTCTGTTGTTTCATTTAATTTAAATATATATATACATATTCTTATATTTGCTTAAATATCAGTGTATTCATTGTTTGTACATAGATTTGCAAAACAAGGTCTTTTCCTGAACTTTGTTCATTTTATCCCATTTTTACTGTGAAAAGGTGCATGTTAGCTTGGATAACTTAGATTAATTGAATTAGTTTATCTTAAATATAAATACTGCATGAATATACAGGTCCGTGCTACATAACTAAGCTCTATTTCATGCTGAATAACCTTTGCCTATAATGTGTCTTAAATAGAAAACTACCTTTAGATAGATTTTTTTCATGCGAAAGCATTTCATTAAAATAAATTTAGTTTAAATTAAAAATCTGATTTAAATTTTAAAAATCTGATTTAAATTTTAAAAATCATTAATTTTTTTAAAAAAAGTCATCAGTTTTAATCCACCCTGAGAAATGCCAAGTATTATGCTAATTTTATACCGATAGCGTATTTGCTTTAATTGAGAGTGACAAACATAAGTTTTATGAAGTGTTTTTTTAACTGAAACCACAACCAGTGTCACTCTTCTGTAGATATTGATGCAGTGTAAAATTTATGTAGTACCCAAGTTTGTTATGTACTGAGCATGTTTTTTCCTACACTTAGTCGCAGAACTATTGCAAATAGTAAACTTAAGGGCTTAAACTATATGGCCCATGTTCTCAGCTGTGATTTTGCTTCATATCCAGCCAGAAAAAGACTGAGGGAAGATCTGAAACAGCATTGACTTCTTGTTGGACCAAATGAAGGTGATGTAGAAGTTTTATCCCCTAATGGCCTGATAGTTCTGTAAGCTTGTGCTAGATGTGCAGACTCTCTCTCTCTCTCTCTCTCTCTCTATATATATATATATATATATATACACACACACACACACACACACACACACACACACACACACACACAGAGAGAGAGAGAGAGATACTCTCTCTCTCTCTCTCTCTCTCTCTCTCTCTCTCTCGTGTCTCCCCTGTTTTGGGTCTGTTTGTCTGAAGTTATGTTATTTAAACAGGAACCTCTTAGGGAATAACAGCCTTGCTTTATTGGTAGGTGAAAATGGAATTGCAAACAGCCGCAATGCCCTGATACACCTCGTACTTTCTATAATTTGGGGAAGGTTTAAAATGAAGAACTCCATTTCAGAAAAGCTGCTCTTCACCCCCCCAAGTGATTGTGATTTTGAACAATCAAGTGGTCCAGCCTCTAGCCTACCATGATCACAGTGACCATGGCTTACAGGAAGCTAACATTAAGAGAATGTTACCTGCTCCTGATTCCTAACTTTGGACTCTTTCAGCTTAGAGACCATTTGGGGGCCAAGTATGTCTTCACAGTGCATATAGATCAGTTATGGAGTTCATTGCTTGAAGGTACAATAATGACTGCCAACCTGGACAGAGTTAAAAGATCAGATAAATTCTTGGAAGATATGTTAATGGGCTCTTTACTGTACATCACAGATCAGATGCTGTATGCCTTTATCAGCTGTAAAAGTGCATGGACAGAGGGACTTGCTACTACAGGTATATTCATGGTTTTTGAGCTTACTGGGAGCAACGAGTTGGCCACTTTGGGAAGAGATTGATAGACTACATAGGCCCTTGCTCTGATCCATCACAACTCCTTTGTATTTGTTACATGGCTTGCTGTTCACTTGCATATACTAAATAAGCCATTTGTACTATTGCTTATCAATTGTAAGGGAATTATGTAGATGACTTTTTAAAATTACCTATCAGAAAATATGTTCTGTGCCAGCCCATTCCACAAGAAGTTTGCTGTTCACATTGGCATCAGTACTGAGTCAGTTTTCTGTCTTCTTGGCTATTAGACCAGGCCTATCAAATAGCCAACCCAACTATGCAGGAAACATTCTACGGCTAGAATAGAAGAATTCACTGAGATGCATACCAAACATGATTTTCCTTTGAAAGCTCCCACAGTTGTCTGATTCCATGATGGCACATGCTGTCAGAAATTTCTTTTGGTCTTGAGCAAGCTGCCTATAACTTAGGACTGAGTCCTGCAAATAGTACAGTACTTTTTTGTCTTTATTATTTGCAGTGAAGAGATAGATGTTTTGTGTGGTCTAAGCATATATTAACATACAGATGCAGTTGAAATCTGACAAACTTCCATGGTAAGAACTTACTAACATCTGAGGGTGTTACTCTTTGCTGTCAACCAAGTGATATCTGTGATTCCAAATGGGTGTCCCTCAGTACTTGTCCAAATGGTCAAGTCCTTCAAATTGTCTGTAATAAATGGAGGGTATGTCTTGGGGGAGACTGGAATGGGCATGTTTCATACTCAAAGGGATATCTGGTTTCTGGGGCAAATGAACAAACATAGAGGCAGATGAAACAGTGCATGGCTTCAAAACGACCTGTGGGAAAATGTGGATTTCAGAGCATAAGCTTTGTGGGGGCCCTTTCAGCAGATTCTCCTGGCTCCTGTTAGAAACAACAAAAGGAAAGAAAAGGTGAGAAAAAGTGAAAGATACTGGATAGCTATTTTTTAAACCTTATAGTCTCCAATTAAACCATTACAGAGACACAGTTTCATTTATCTAATGTGATTTGGGGTAGTGTGAATTACAGCTACCTCAAAAGAATGTTAGCAATAGTATTTGTCATTTAATCCTTGGCTCAGCTTGGCACCACGACTGCTGCATTTCAGTGAAAGAAGGTGATGTGGCTCACATGTTGTGTTATTTCTACCTACATTTATTCAGTTCCTGTGTTTAGGAAACACAAAGATGCATTGTTCCAGACAGCAGTTCTTCTGGTTACAATTGCTCAAAAAATAAGCAACTTTGTTTTATTGTGAATTTTGTGTGACGTATCTGATCTGATATATTGACTGTGCCTTCCATGCTGATCGTGCCAATCTGATGTAGTACATAGATCAGTACCATTCCCATAAAATTTCCCATAGGTGGCAAAAAGGGTACAATTTGCATCAAACAAGATGTACAGAGACCACATCCCTAATTTTATTAGCACTTTCTGGGGCTTATAGGAGGATGAAACATCCAGCAAAAGAGGATATATGTTTTTCTTTTTATCACCAAAATTAGGTGTTGTGTGGTGTGGTAAGACCAGGAAATTGGTAGCCACAAAAGAAGGTGAAAGGATATGTGGGCATGTGCTATCAAACAAAAAATAGGGTTTCAGTAAAAAAATGAAAACAAAAATACAAAAATGTGGCATTTTAAAAACTAAGGTAAAGGTAAATGTTCCCCTTGACAGATGTCTAGTTGTGTCCGACTCTAGGGGGCGGTGCTTATCCCCATTTCCAAGCCATAGAGTCAGCGTTTGTCCGAAGGCAATTTCCGTGGTCACGTGGCCAGCGAGACCATACACGGAATGCCATTACCTTCCCACTGAGGTGGTACCTATTTATCTACTTGCATTTGCATGCTTTCGAACTGCTAGGTTGGCAGGAGCTGGGACAAGCGACGGAAGCTCACTCCGTCGCATGGATCCGATCTTACGACTGCTGGTCTTCTGACCTTGCAGCACAGAGGCTTCTGCGGTTTAACCCGCAGCAGCACCACGTCCCTTTAAAAACTAAGTACTATATTTAAATGTGAGCCTTTGTGAATCAAGTCCACTTCCTCAGACAAGAGTGAGACTAACTCAGCTGCCCGTTTGAAAATTTGATCTCTATATACTAAAAAGAGATGAAATTACAAACAATGGTACATTAGGTTTTCTAGGAATCGTGTTTGAGGGTCAGGGTGAAATATCGGGACACAACAGGGCATGTGGACATATTTTGGCATAGGGTCTCTGTGT